AAACCGATCGATCCGTGATATCGCCCAGTCGATTCAAACAACTTCTACCAACCACCAACGACCGACCAACTACTCTACTCGGCCTACGCATATTTACGATAACATTCCTTTTTTCCCCCTTCCTTCCTTCCTTCCTTCCTTCCTTTCTTTCTTCTCTCTCTCTCTCTCTCTCGTTCCAACTCGTTACATATTAATACGATTCCCATTAGCATAACACCGAACGATATCGGTGGAGGAACGAATACGGATGGACCGATACGTATTATAATATAAGAAGTCGGAGGAGGGGATGAAACGTCCTCGCACGAAGGGTGGGTTACTATTCCCCGTTAAAACGGAGGGTGATACGTTGCAATTGTTCGATAAGACGCGGTATTATAGGAGGGGGGTAAGGTCGAAAGACGAGGGAGGGAGAGAGAGGCGACGCGTGGAAATATCGCAGTTTCATCCGAGCGAGTCCAACCCTTTCGGCCGAAACAACAAAGCCGCGTTCCTAAAGGTATCAACGACCCATCGTTGTCTTAATTTCCTTCGTAATCTGGGTTATTAATATAGCTTAGGGTCGGTGGAGCCGCGTAATTTCACGCCGCGTAGAAATTAATAGAAAGACGAATGCTCCCTTTACGGTCGAACGCCCGTGTGGAATGGAAAATGAACTCCCCGAACTCCTCTCCCGCCCCAATTTCCATTTTTCGACTCGCGAAAAATTTCTAAAACTCCCGCTCGCGCGTTCGAGCTTTTTCTCCCTCGCGTCACGACCTTCGAACCGTTAATTCGGGAATCGTTAATGGAAAAAAAAAAAAAGAAAAAAAAAGAAAATAGAAAAAAAAACGTCCACTCCATTCTTGGAAATCTTGGAGCCGAATGGTTCGACGTGGATGGGACGCGTGACATGACGTAGAGCCCGTGAACATTTCCATGTCAGCGTGCACGGTACGGTCGGACAATGAGCCGCGGATTCGAGACGTCGCGTTGTGTATTATCGAGTGGCATTCCGACGCGCCTCGCCACCGACATTTAGATAGCGACGTCAACTGTCTACCGGGGTAAATCTGTCTTGGAAGCAAAGGCAGCGCACTTCCCCCAAGCGGCACAGCACCGACCAGCCCCTCGCTACCAAACCGAGCGAATTCACTTCTGATCGAATTAGCGCGTCACAGTTCCCTGATACCCCGACAGTCTGAATTAATTAACAGGAGAACGCACTAGGTAAGCAGCCATTATCGAAATAAAGCCCCGGCTGGTGCGGGGGCGAGGTAACGAGAGATAGGCTGGAATTATCAATATTCAAAGAGTTCGAGATAAACCTCTGTCACCTTCTCTTCCTAGAGAACGATCGCGGATCGTTTCATATTTTTCGAGGCGAGGCGTTCCGTTTTATTTACGAAGCGACATTCTTCGACCGTTTCTCAAACAGACGAGACGCGTCTAACGCGATGTCGGGCGAGCGCCCCGACAACGAAGGAGCAGCGTCTTGACTCCATTAACTTCACACTTAGCGCCACCTTAGAAACCCCCGTGTCGGCGGAAGATCTGATTAGGGGTTCGAGTCTCTGCTAAACGCGTTAGTCTCGACTGTGGAAGGGGGGAGGAAGGGGGAGAGAGGTTGTACAGCTCCATCAGGTGCTAGAACGGTGGCTCTGAGAAAAGCCGGAGGGGTGGTGGATGGTTGGGGACGGTTTGTCTCTCCTCATAGTTTGATGCAAATTGAGTAGGAGCACCGACAACTACCAAGAATATAAGCGCTTTCTCTCCCGGTAGGGATTCCGCGATCGAGCACAAAATTTATTCCTTGCGACCACCTTACCGCCAACCGGGTGTACCACCACCACCACCACCACCACCGCCAACCACCCGCTTCTACTAACGGCGAAGTGTTGCCGTTTGGGGTTTCTCACCCTCCAGCTTCGACAACTCGTTCTGTTTGCCGACGAATCTCGGAGGCTTCCTCTCGACTTAGCAACGTTCAAAGTCACGACGCGGTTTGCCAGACAACCTCCTATCGTCCCTGTCGTCGCTCTCCGATTACTCTATCCGTCAATGGGATCATATGGAGAGAAAAGTCCTCGTACTTGTCTAAACATTGCATACGCAAAAATTTGAATGATTTTCTTCGAAAGAAACGATACTGCCACCAAAATCGCCAACCAAAAATTTTAAAATTGTATAACAACATCTGAGTGTATAGGATTTTCCAAAGAAAAAGAAATTAGCAATTTTTATAAACGATATTGCCGTGAAAAATATCTTTATTCCAAATACGTGGAAATTGCAAAGATAAAAAACGACTCGAAACGAAACGATATTTACCGTGAATTTTTCGATAGGAAAAATCGTACTAATCGTCCAGTCTAAATATAAAGGATATACCAGAGGATAAGAATTAGCAAAACTTTCTTTGTAAATTTACCGCGAAACGATATTGCCGCGAACGTTTCGACGCCATTTAACGCCGCTAATGCCCGAAGCGTTTAACGTTGCACCGAGGCAACCATCTATACCCGACGTATCTAGCCAGAAAATCACAACACCATTATGCCACCATCTCGTTGCTTCCATCCTTCTTTCTCTTTGTCGCGTCTCGCATCATCCTCTCGCTCTAATGTTCCCTTTTTATGGCGCACGATTCGAGTCTGCCCCCGGGATCGATTTTACTTCGCACCATGCCACTTATCGTGCCCCGTTACGGTGGAGCATTGCTTTTTATGGCGGTCCATGCTAGATGTTCCGATCGCTCTTCGGTTCTCTCGCTATTTTCTCCTCCTTCTCTCTCTCTCTCTCGCTTTCCGATCTACCCCGCGTTTCCACGCTCGTCTCCTCCTCCTTCTACGTTCGAAATCGTGGAATTAAAAAAAAAGAAATGGAAAAATCGAAATGAGTTTTTCGAGATCATCGCCGTTCGCGACGTCGGTTACCCGAACAGATGTTATCTCAATTCATTTTTGATGATGCTAAATCATCCCCTCTCCCTCCTCATCGATCTCGTTCGCGTATCGGAAATCGCTCTACCTTTCTTCTAGATGTACGAAGATTGGTTGTCGCCCCATTTCCATTGGAATTTGAAAAAAAGAGAAAAAAGTTTCAACGAGAAAAATTGGTACGACACGAATCGAACGAATCATCGAAGGACGATTTAGCCTCGAGATACGTAAAAAAAATACATAAGCATAAATTTAATTCGTTGATTCCTTCATTCGAACATCGCGATCCCGCTGACTCGTTTCGAATGCTGCAAAATGCTCTGCATATTCCCGTGCAAGAGGTGGTGAAAAAAATCACGTCTGCATTTACATAAGCGGCGGTATAAACCACTCGACAGAAATCCCGACATAAAACTCAAACAGGATCCGAGCACGGGACAGCACATCATCCGTTGAATACGCAATGTACGTTCGTACGTACACAATGTATTGTCCCTTCTCGAAAAAGAAAGAAAAAAAAAAGAAAGAAAGAAAGAAAAGAAAGAAATGCTTTTTTTATTCAACACTTGCGAGTTACGATATCAAGATACACCCCCTTAAGTATACACACGTACGCGTCTTTTTCACCGCGCCTCGATCTCGAGACTCTAAGCTTATGAAAAAAAGAAAATATATATATATATATATATATATATATATATTTAAAACGAATTCATAAACGTGGATGATCATTTTCTACGAGAAAAGGATCGACACGAGTGCGCGACACACGGCAGGATTAAATAATAAGGGCGATGTCGTTTTATTTTGGGAAGACAAATCCCTGGAACTGGCTCTCCTCGTAACGCGGTCGATACGAAGAGTATAACACACCGAGAGCGATGTTCACGGCACCTGACAAGAATATCAAGGCGTCGCTGTATCCTGACAAAACGATTTTCGAGTCCCTCGTGGATCCCGTGAGGATCTATTGTGCTCGTTGGAAACCAGCCACCCCTCGTGATCCTCGTTTTCCAAAGGTTCTTTAGCATTTCCGGCGTATCGTCCTTTATGCGGGCATCTAGAAGAATCCCGCTCGCCCCCTCTCTCTCTCTCTCTTCCCTCCCCCTCCCCGTTCGCCGTTCCCTTGCACCGCGGTTACAGGAAAAATTGACTTTTAAGCCGGCAATAAAAAAGGAAAAATGCGAAATCTTTGATTTTAGTGGCGCCTCTTACCCCCGGCGACAGTTGGTCGATGCGTATAACCCTCGCGGCAACCTTATTTCTCTTATATCGCAAGCGAAGCACGTTCGTACTTCGCCACCATTTCGAAATCTGCGTTTCTCTTGTATATGCTCGCCACCGCGGAGAGGAGATCACCGGGAAATACCCGTGGATCTCATTCGTTGAATTTTAAAACCGTGATTTCCATCGCGATATCGCCGGGCTCCGAAACTCCAATTAGGGTGGTCGTTCGTTGGTCGGAACGTAAGTGTC